CTTGTTTTGGTGATGTCATTACAACCTTTCGTGAACAGAGAAAAACACATATTTCATAAACAAATACTATTTGCTACCAAAACAACTTTTGGGAATCAAACCCTGAGGTTATGCAGAAATAACTATCACAAAAGTTCAAGAAAGAAAAAAAAGTCTTTATCTTTTTCTCAGTGGCTAGCAGAATAAAAATGACATAGAAAATTGTAACTTTTAACTATCAGAATCAAATGTTTGCTTTCCTTGTCTGATTCAGTTTGCTTTAATGAGCAGGCAGTTTCTTTGGGAAAGATAATCTATTTAGAACAAAATACCCAACAACTGATCTTGAGAACTTATACTAACAGCTGGTTTTTCTGTATTAACAACTGATGTTGCATACTTTGTTTTTCCATATTGTTATAGATTAAAAGGGGAGATTAAGTTTCTTTGTCTCCACATATCTGATACCTGAAAAAAAAAGGGATAACAATCTTGTAATGGTATGGTGAAAGAACATTCTAAATTGGCATGAACATACAGTATGCTACTAATAAATGATATTTATTATTTGATCATAACCATTAAAACATGTAATTATCAATGATAGCCTATTCCTCCAAGCTAGCAGCAGGGCTCTAAGCACCTTTTGCCCAATAACATGCTGGTAAATAAAGCAATGAAATAAGTGTTAAAAACTATACATCCTAAAGAAAAAAAAAAGGGACAGAGTTGGTGCTAATGGTGTATAGAGTACCAGAACAAACTGAGGCTTTCTAAATTTGCTTTCTAAAATCACAGATGAGGTCAGTCCCACTCCGGAACCTAAGCTGCTTCCTTGATGCTGCCCACAAGCCTTATTCAACTTCCCAGTAATCAGGACATATCATCCACCTAAAAGCCTGGAACTAGAATAAGGGGGAGTTCAGGATGAGGCAAGAAAATAAAACATATTTTGAATTGCAAATTATAGCAAATGATATTATCATATTCTTTACAGGGGTGATTAAAATTGGTGTGCACTACCACACCCAGTTTCCTGGTCAATCTTAATTTCTCAGAGCATTTAATTTTAAGTTACCTGGAATCACCACTCCTTTCATCCAATTGTGATTTACTCAGTAATTCTGATATACATAGGTGCTATGTGAGGAATGGATATATAGAAATGCAAAATGGAATCCCTCCAGGAACTTATGAGTTTAGGAGGCAAGCATTTATTGCATAATGCTACAGGTCCCATGATAGAGGCAAGCAGAGAAGTACAGAAGAGAAATCTTCCCACTCTGAAAGAGTCAGAAGTAGTTCCTTGAAAGAGTTAATATCTGAACCAAGATTTAAAACTTGAAAGACAAATCAAGTGTTGGGGAAAATACATGTAGTATTTGGAGATACGTGAGAACTAGTTAATGCAGAGAATTTTAGCAAATAAATTTTAACAAAATAATTTTAGCAAATAAAATTTGTCCCTGGACTACAGGGACAATGGAGAAGAGTGTGAAAGGTGAGATAGACAAGTAATCTGGAGCCAGGTCCTAAGGACCTTTGTATGTCATGCTAAAATAGTAAAAAGTTAGTGAAATACCACGTTAATGATGCCTTAGTTAATAATCATGCAAATAAATTTACATCTTTTATTTATAGGGAATCAGAAAGACATTTGAGGATAGCACACACAGAAAGGGGGATTTTCACTAGAAGTTATGACAAATATTATATATTGAGCCCTTCAATTCCAATCTTCAAGAAGTGATTCCCATTCTCATCCTCCAGGAGACAGGGCTTGTGGCAGAATAACAGTATTCTTCAATTCTTATAACTGCATAACTTGTTATAAAGTCTTGGCATTCTTTGGTTTTTACTTAAAGGAACTTATCTCAATGGAAAGAATGATCAAAGGTATTTCACCATGGAAGTCTTAATGCAATTGGGTTGAATAGTGTCGCTGAACAATCTGTGTCCATACGGAAACTCAGAATGTGACCTTATTTGGAAATAAGGTCTTCATAGATGCAGTTAGTTAAATTACCATGAGGTCATACTGAATTAGGGTAGGCCTTAAGTCCAATAACTAGTATCCTTATAGGAAGACAAAGTCCAAGGTGAGAGTTCTGTTGTCAGAAGCTAAGGGACCCCAAGGACTGCAGGTAGCCTCTACAAGCTGGGAGACATGCAAGGGACGGGTTCTCCCTCAGAACCTCTAGGAGGAAATCAGCCTGCTGACATCTGGAGTTTGGCCTTCTGGCTTCCAGAACTGCAAAAGAATAAATTTCTGTTTTTTGAGCCACCTGGATTGTGGTTCTTTGTTATATCAGCCTGAGGACTCTAATACAGCAACCACGAAAAATGGAGTGTGTGTGTGTGTGTGTTTGTGTGTGTGTGTGTGTGTTTTAAATGCTTTTAAAAATGTCTCAGGTGCCTTTTTCTAAATGGGGCTTTACCCACTCCAAATATCTCAAGCAAGTCTCATTGGATAGATAAAAAATTTTTAGAAAGTAATTACCCCATACCTAATGAAAAGATGTCTATATAAATGTGAAGATAATAGCAAGGTACAACTTCTGTACTATCACCTATGAACTTAAATATTTGATTCTTTTATTCCCAACTATGACAAATAGATAGTCATATTTACAATTAGTTTTCTCTGTTTTAGGTTATTTTCCTTGGCCCATCTTGAGGAACTTGATATTTCCTATAATGAAATTACTTCTATTCCGAATGATATCCAGAAACTCAGGTATTTGGGGATTAGTAAGTACAAAGAAAGTCATGTTTCCCTTAAAGATATTTGGTAACGATTGTGATGGAGAAATTTGAGTCCTCTCATTTATTTAGCAAGCAATGAAAAATGTGAGCTACAAAATTCATAGAATAGCTCTTATCTGCTACATCTTTATAAGGAAATACACATTATAAAATGCTCAAAATACTTAATGTAGTTTTAATATTAAACTCTGGTTCTCACATTAATAAAAAAGAAAGTCTGAAGTTTTTCTGTGTCTTTCTATATCAGTATCATACTTTTTAAAATTCATTTTTTATTTTAATTTAATTATTCTAATTAGGTATATATGACTATAGAATGCATTTTGATTCATTGTACACAATTGCACAACTTTTCGTTTCTCTGGATGTACACAATATAGCATCACACTATATGTTCAGTCATACACATACCTAAGGTAATGATGTCTATCTCACTCCACCATTTTTCCTGTCTCTATGTCCTTTCCCCTTTGCCCATTCACAGTTCCTCCATTTTTCACATGCCCCCCCCCCATTATGGATCAGAGAGCATTCAGCCTTTGGTTTGGGGGGATTGGCTTACTTTGCTTAGCATGAGTATCATGCAATTTTGATTTTTACTTTAGAATAATCTAATAAAAATAGATTATTTTGTTATTTTTCAATAATAATTTCTTAATAACTCTCTTTAGATGATAACCTTTAAGATCATTTTATATAATTCCCAGCTTCTCTTTCAATACACATCAACACAAAGTTGGCATTTTAGTTGTCCATCACCTTGAGATTTACACAAAATTTTGAAGAATTTATATTTTTGATGATAATAAATTTTTTCATTCTAAAACACATTTTTTAAATATTTTCAGATCTTGTCTGATCCACCTTGTATCTTTCTTAATAGGCTTTTCTAAGTATTCTATATTGTGTTGCTACTGTGAATATAATGCTTCTCTTACTTCCATTTTTAGCTCTATCCAGCATAGAAAAACTATGTTTTTCTTTATGTTATCTTAAAATCAAGCAATGTAAATCAAGTTCTCCTTAGATCTGATGGCTTTCCTTTTGTTCTCTAGGAGTATGATCTTTGGCAAAGGAGATCATTTTCTCTAATTTTACACTATTTATACTATTATTTGATTTTCCATGTGACAATCCCTGAATTTTAATAGGAGAATTCTGCCCATCCATATTTGTTAAAGACTGATGTATTTATTTATTTATTTATTTATTTATTTTGCTTTCTGCTTTACTTTGTATTTACTATTTATTTCCTGTTTCCCCCTCTCCTTTTCCCTCTTCTTCTTCTGGTTTGTTCAGCATAATATTTATTCTCTTTTATTCCTCCCTTGTTAATTGTGGTGTTTTACTATACTTTTCTAATCCCTTCCCCAAACTCATTATCAAACATGTTTTCCTTCATATTTTACATAAGCCTCCACATAATGGCCTGTCTGCCCACTGCTGTCTTTGACATCTAGTTGAGACTTAAAAATTTTTATTTTCCCTTAAAACTTACCTGCCTTTTATCTAACTCTAGATTTTATGGAGATGGCTTAGAAACTTTTGACAGAGATTCCCATTGATATTTTCCTTTGCATTATGTCTGTCTGTCTACAGAACATTTATCAAGTATTTCAATCTCACAACATTTTCAGGCAATCTCCATTCATTTTTAACTGTATGTTTCAAGATCCATTGCTTGCTGCTGCTTTGTCTCTTCTTTCATCTCATCTTGAATCTGGAAAGATGTCTGTTTTAAGTCGTTGATGGGATAGAGTGTTCCTATAGACCTTTTCTCTAGTGAGTAGCTTTTTTCTCTGAATCTTGAAGATAACAAATGACATCATCAGTGGTGGTAGATCTGGCTCTGCAGCCCTCCCTCTCCATCAGCATTTCCTCCCCATCTTCCAGCATGGCAGGCCAGGTGCCTGATGCCAGTTTACTCTTACTTTGTAAGCAGCTCTTATTCTCATCTGAGAAGCCTTAAGGTTCTCTCATCATCTCTGATCTTCAGCAATTCCATAAGGTAATACTTAAGAGTGGATCAGTTTTCTTTTGTAAATCTGTCTTTCCTTGGATTCAGGGAACTCTTAATCAGCCAGCTCACACTTCTTTAAGACAATATGTTAAGTGATTGCCTCTTCCATATTTTTCTACTTCTCTTCCTGAAATGACTATTACTTATATATTAGGTCTACTGGATCTATCTTCGGTGTCACCTACATTTTTCCTCATGATTTTTCTTTATACTTTTGTTTTGTTCTGAATCATGCCTTCTACTTGGCTTCTGATTTGGATCTCCACAATGGTCATGTTCTTCTGTTTATTCACTTAAATCTTTTATTTCACAAATCATGCATTTGGGTTCAAGAAAGCATTTGGATGTTTGAGTGTGCACACATTTGACTCTCATTGTTTTTCCTGTTCCCACCCCAACTTCTTATCTGTCTCTCCACAGAGAGTGCTTGCCTCAGGGCCACTGTCCTGTGCAATGTGTCTGTTTTCCTCATCTGGTAGCTCTTCTGCTTGCCCAATGGCAGTTGAGAATGTCACCACTCAGAACAGCAGGAATGTCAGTCATGACTCAAGGAGACTCCTCTGCCCCCAGAGTGCTCAGTTTCGAAACTGGATGTAGGGGTCTTCCAGCTTCAAATATTGTTTGGCCAGCTTAGCTCCCCAAAACCCATAAATAGGAAGAGGGCACCCAAACTTCTGGGTCCTCAACATGGATGTCCTGGGAACATTTGCTGGCCTTTCCCTTGCATGTGCCACACTCATTCTGGTTGTCCACACAGGACTTGTCCTTGTCAGAGGGGGCTGCTACAGCAATGTCCTGTAGGCTTGGTACCTTGTAAATAACAGAAACTCATTTCTCATGTTCTGGAAGCCCAGAAACCCAATATGAATATGCAAGTAAATTTGGTGTCTGGCTAGGGTGTGCTGTCACATACACAGCCACCTTCTCCCTCTTGCCTCCCATTATAGAAGGAGCCATCTGAAGCCTGTTTTATCCTGCTTATGAGAGCTGTCCACCCCAACCTAATCACCTCCTAAAAATTCTACCTCTAAATGTCATCACCTTGGGGACAAAGATTTCAACATAGGAATTAAGAGGGACATAAATATTCAGCCCATAGTCAGTCTCTCTGCTTCTGGCATGTTGGCTTGCATTTGATGCAGAGGAAAAAGTGAGCATGCTAGTTCTCTCCTTCAGGACCAAAACAGCCTGGAGTCTTGCTCACCTGTACCAGATCATGGGAGGCCCAAGGTCAAACTGGAAGAATTCTGTTATCTGCTTAGCCTCTTTCTGTTTTAAATACATACCACCTTCAAACACATTTTAATACTGTTAGTAAGGGTCACAATATGAGACTAGACTGTCAGTGAGAACCTAGAAGCCCCTTGCTCCCTGCCTAAATTCCATTTTCCAGTCGGTTCACCTTTAATGCATATGAAATTTTGTTGGCCTTTGACTTCGATTTTTATGTGTCCTTCATGAACAGATACTTTTCTGTCTTCTTTCAGCACTAATTAGAAAGGAGATAAGTGACTGTGGAAAACACTACTGAGACAAGTGAAAATAAGAAAATCAAGTCATGCTGGTTTTCTGAATAAAGGACCAAGGATTATTGAAAGCAACTGACACAGTGAAGACTTAAGGGGACTTGGGTGTTGAAAAAGTCAAAGCATAACATAGCACATGGTGTATTTTGATGGCACAAATTTCACTGGTTTTATTACCATTGGAATGACAAATACATGTTGAAATTCAATTTTCTATAAAAGCATTTTTTCTGTATGTTTTTAAATATTGTATTATATAATGTTTGTTAGTCTTCCTGTGATTGTGGACATTATTTCTTTTTCCACACTGATGACCCCATTCAAAGACCTTCCAAATACAGGCACCAACTGAGCACACAAAGTGTACTTATTTGGGTAAAAATATATTAGTTCAGTTGTTTCATATGTGAATTTCTCTTGATTTTAATACTTAAATACACATGTGTTTTTTCCTTGCCACTAAATTTGTTGCCAGTTTTTAAGAACGCTGGGACAGAATTGCATAAATATTGCATAAATATCTTTAAAATGAGTTTATCTTTGTTTACAGATC